AGTGGAGACGGGTCATTTTGACCCGGAGGACAAAGGGTGTATACAGAAAATGAGGACAACAGGAGGGTTAAATAATCGTATATATAAAATATATAAAATAGGAAACTTTTTCAATGAAGCAAAATTATTTAAACCTGCACATTTCAAACAGAATGCTTTTATAATAATGCTTCTTTTTTTGCCTGAAATGCCAACAATTTGGCAAATGGAAAATATTCTACAAAAGTGGCTGCATCATATAGGATCTAAAAATTCTAGTACAGTAACGTATAAAGCAATTTTATTTTCTTTTTAACCACTTTACACACAGTACAACTACACGTCCCTCCATAGGACTCGTGATTGTACATACTTTTCTCTCTCCCTCTCGCACAAACAAACATCAATGTGACTGCAGTGCAAGGGGGACGATGTAGTTACAGCAGTAGAACATAAAGTGGACAAACTATTCCCTCATGTCAAGGTTAGAAAATACTATAAATAAAAGTCACACACAGAAAGAAACATACATTGTGTGCTGCACGCAGACTCCGAGGTCTTCAGAGGAAAGAGTGAGTGGCAGGTAATGAGGTGGAGCATCCGTCATTGTTAAGACTGATCCCTCATTAGGGAGCTTAAGGTTCCAAGGCAACAGATGTGTGCTTTTGCGATTATTGGTGTGAGTGGTGATATGGAGCCAAAGTACACGAATAAATGCAACACAGACAAATTTATTTCTGATCATTTTGTATGAAAGTAATGCGTTATATGATAACAGATGTGTGCATTGTTCCCCGTAAGCCATTATTAGCAGTGAGCAATTCTCTGCTGTGCTGTGTGTGTGTGTGTGTATGTGTGTGTGTGTGTGTGTGTGTGCGCGCGTGCGTGCGTGCGTGTACGTGCGCGTGTGTGTGAGTTTAATAAAAATATGGATTGCATGTGCTAACACAGACAGATGCACTCATTGTCAGAACTGTGTTTACCATCCGTCCCCATTACGCGTGCAATTACTCAGAGGCTGAAAACAAGCGGGCTCATTTGCGAGATGCTAAGCTGCTCTGGCTGAGGAGATCTCATGCTTTATTAGCCCGTTGTTTGGGAGATGCTTTCTGACAAGAAGCTGAGCGAATGAATAGATGGCTTGATAAAAAGCTTGCTGTGCAGAATTCTTCAAGCTGGATTTTATTTTATTTTATTATTATTAGTATTATTATTATATTTTTTGTGGGGGGGAGAGAGAAATTACACTGCCTTAGCTTGTAACAGATGATCTATTCCCTGAGTGATTTATGAAATCAATTTGTCTGTTATCGGCAGCTCGACTTTGTCAGATAACATCGCAGCACCATGCATCCCCGTTTGGGGACAGAGCGAGGCGGAGGCGCGTTTGTGTATGCGTTGGCATAATAGATATGTTGAAAATACCCATCAGTCACTCTGAGCATTGATGTTGTTGCATCATGCTGGGAAACATGTAAAAAAACAATGCACTGAATGTTGATTACACTTGGCAAAAGAATAAAAGGAACTTTCTAAGACTCCAGTGTGATGGTGTTGGTTTCTCTGGTACTTTGTGTGCTCATCCTCCATTTGTCTGTCTGCTAACTCTGAAACAAACTGCACCTTTACTATGGGGTGMCAGGTGTGGAATAAAATGTTAAAAACTGTCACCAACACATTTGCATTTTAGCTTAATTTCTGACTGTGAAATCCTACTTAAAGGGTGGTGGAGATATTATGCAAAATTAAGTTTTTTGAGCTTTACATCATGTTATAATGTCATTGCCTCGTCATTAACATACCCAGAGTGTTGCTTTGACTCATTCATTAATTAGTCATGAACCTCCTGTGGTAGCCATGTGGAACTGCCTAAACGCTTGCTGGTACAAAGCTCCACCTATTTACACAAAGCTCCTCCCTGGAACTCAGTCTGCGGCCAAGCTCCCGCCCCACAGAGCACCCCTTCCCTGAAGCATTGTTGTAAAAACATGCTGAAGTGGGAGTGTCAGAAACAATAGGAGGTTCTTAAAGAGATCCCTGATTACWTGTAACATTGGATATTTCAAAAATTTTACTTAAAATGTAAAACAAAGACTGTAAATATACTCTAGCCTATTTATTAAAAAATAAATAAATAAATACATTTTGTCACACGAACAGTGCCATTTTATTAACACAGCAAAGCGTACTGGGTGAATAATGCCGTTCACTAGGCAGTCTATGCAAACACTTATCCACCCTGAAGGTTAAATTTGGACATTATCCGTCGATCATCCCTTTTTAATGAAACCATAGCACCTTGACAATGAGTGGAATGTGGAATTTGACTGTCTGAAACTGATAATGTGGATGGAGGACTCCAGAGCTGCTTCACGGATTAGAGAACTTCAGTTTAGCCGGTTAGCTCTTTCATGTTAGCACTGAGCTAAGGAGCTAGCTATAGCTTTAGCATATGAGCTAATTTATATGTATTTGGTGATACCGYGTTGGCAATGTAGAAATGCCTGGAATAAAAAAAAATCCACACAAGCACGGAAAGAACATGCAAACTCTACCCAGAAAGGTCCCTTGCTGGGATTTGAGCTGACAACCTTTTTGCTGAGGCAACAGCTTTACCGACTGAGCCACATAACAACTAACAACTAGTTACTTGATTTCCTGATGCATCTCAGTGATCCAGGTAAAAAATCAAAAAGAAAAAAAATGTTTAGTTCTTCTGGACGGGTTCTTCTCTAATGAAACGTTTCGTCTCTCCTCCAAGAGACTTCTTCAGTCTGAGAGTTTCAGGCTAAATTCAGGCTTTTAAGCCCTGCCTCCATGTGACTGATACTCACATCACATGGCTATTGTTGACACCTAATTAACACCTATTGTTAACAGGGGTGGAGTGATACTGGCAATAGCAGCGCTGTAGGAGGGGGACAACTGAATTAAATGTTGATGTTTACATTTAAACATGTTCAAATGGATTGCAGCCTTTGCAGTTGGGGCTCGGCAAACTTTAACATTTACATTTGGATTTACACATTTAGATTCAGTATTTACATATATTATTTACCATTTATTTTAAACGTTTAGTAAGAAATTTGCAAACTGTAAGAGGAGTGAGCTAAATAATGAAATGTTAGTGGAAAATTAACTAGTATAATGAAAATATGTGACATTTTTAACATTTTATTTTACGCTTAGTGTAAAATTTGGTGTACATTTTATACTTTACTTCCTAACTGAACACCATTTTGATAAACTGTGCGTCTCGTGTGACCTGTCTTGGCTGATTCTKTATATGCATAGAGTTACATGTGTGTGCATGAGATTGCTTGGGACAGTGAAATAGAGCCTTCCAAATCTTATTGGAGCCCCGATGAGCTTTGTGTTGTTTCTGGGTCACTCACCTTAATTTGCTTTAGGCCATCTTCAAGCCTTCCTCAAGGACCTGAAGAAAGCACAGTTTTGACATTTGTATGCAGTTTGGGAAAAGAATTATATGAAAAAGCTTTGCGTTCCTTTCCGTGTACTCCGGTTCAGGAAGAGATAAGCAGTTTGTTTTGCCAAAGACGTCAAAGTGGGGGGAATCAGAAGTGACAGCAGAAGGGATGAGATATTTCGAGATATGTCTTGATGGATGTGGTTTAATCTTAAGCCTGCCAGATGTGTCAAGGATTTGCGAACACCTTATGGAGTTAAATCTCCCTGTGCCGCTTTCTCACTCTGTACCTCTGTTCCATCTTTCTTTCTGTCTCCACACAGTGAAGTTTGAGGATTGCCAGCGGAGCCGAGACGTGGGCTTTGTCAGCAGCGACCCCAACTTCAGTGTGAGGTCCGATGGGACGGTGTACGCTGAGCAAGAGGTGGCCAACCTCTCCGAGCCGGTGCAGTTCATGGTGACGGCGCGGGGACTGCACGATCCCCACATCTGGGAGACCACCGTGAAGCTGGCCCTAGCTGGACATCTTCATCCTTTACCGCTCACAAAGGTATTAACKAGGACTTTTTATTACAAGTTGACATTAATTGTTAATGAATTGTCTGAAATGCATTTGGTCAAAGTACCACAAAGAATACATCAAAAAGCTTCTTCAGGAATGATTTCATGAGTATTCAAGGCAGAAAATGTTACTGAAAGTTATGACTCAGATCAAATTAATGTATTTCTATAGCACATTTAAAAAAGTTTCCCATTGGCCAAAATGTTGCACACAAAATGTTAAATAGTAAGAAGATAAGATCATAAAAGCAAGTTCACAAGTCTTAAAAAGTAATGAAATCAAACAACAAATGTTCATTTTTCATGCTATATCACGTACAAATATGTTTTAAGATGAGTTTAAAAGTTGAAATCTGGTTCCACAGTTTAGGGCCTACAGCTAAAAACGCCCGATCATCCCTGTGGYCCAGGCTGGACCTCGGGACAGCTGAAAGCAAAGAATCATTAGATTGAAGAGATCTGGAGGGAACATAAGGCTGAAGGAGGTCAGACAGGTACACAGGGATCTGTCCAATCAGACCCTTATAGTTCATCAATAAAACAATATAATCAATTCTAAAACAAACAGAGAGCCAATGAAGGGAGGCCAGCACCGGGGAGATATGTTCAGGATTTTTTTTCTCTGTGTTTAAAGATGAGCTGCAGTGTTCTGAACCAGCTGTAATAAAAACATGAATCAAGCATTAAATGCCTTATTTAAAAAAAAGTCCAAATAATTCCAAGCATTCAATAAGCAAAATACTAAACGGTTATTTTATTATGAAACACCAGCACAGAYAGGTAACCAATGATCCATGTTTTATGAACAGAATTGTCTTGAGTCATGTATTAAACCAGGCAACATTAAAGCCTAAATAACATTAAAAAGCAGCTAGTGCTTGTCAGACCCTCTAAAGTGAATCCTTGTAACTATGACTAAAAACAAGAATCTGAGTAATTTTTTTTGTTTTTTTTTTTGCATTTTTTCATTAACTGAAACTAARAACCCTTTAGCAGTTTAGTTGTCCAAAAGATTTGTAATGTAATCAGTGCCAGGATCAACTGAATGTGACTCAGGGTTAAATGTGTTGAAAACTCAGTGATCTGATGTATCTCGAATTTGTCTGGCCCAAACAAGGCACTAACAATTGGCCCAGATATTGGCAACAATGATGGTCCATGTTATCTTACAATCAGCCCCTCAGCCCCATCATTATCAGACCTGGCCCACRCCTGWCCATTATGTGGGATATTAGGTCACAATTAAATAGCTTGTTCTCATGATTTTTGTTTGTTGGCTTTGTTTCTGAAACTTTTTAATCTAAAATACAAATATTTTCCAAATCCACCTGACCAAAAAATCCACATTTTCAAAGTTTAAGGTCATTCACTGTTCATGATGAAATGAGAGTTTTGCACATCTGCTGTGTTTTAAAGACTTTAGGGCATTGTAGAAACATCCAAATAGTTTCATAAAAACATGGGGGAAAAGTAGTTGAAGTACAAACATAATCATAAACCAAAAATCAAAAAAAAATATCATAATGGCTGTTTTGCTTTTTAAGGCTTTAAATTAATTTGCATTTTTTTTCCAAAAATATCAGAAGGACTGGGTATCATTCTAAACAAGGATGTTTCTGTTTCAGTTATGAAGTTTTTTTTTAGTCGGAAAAAAAATCAAGTACAACAAATAATAAATTTAAGAGGATTTTCATTTTTTAGGATATAGAATATGAATAAAAATGTTTCAAATATGTATTTTGTGAGTAGAAAGT